CCTCAGGACTGTCCCAGGAACTGTAACAGAGAAAGAAGAACATGGGGATGCTGCTTCCAAGAGCTAGCACCCCACACTGGCAGCTCCTTCTGTATATGTGGGTATTCTACCCCCAGCCATTCCACACAGCCACATGTCCAGGAGGAACTGCCAGCAATGGGCAGTGGCTCCTGAGAGTGGCAGCCCCATGTTCTTCTCCTTTTCCTGCTGCAGTTCCCGGGAGAGCTCTGCAGTTCAGCAGATACCAATTTCTATCTGCGGACATTCTCATCTGCAAACAGAAATGTGTATCCTCGCAGGGCTCTACTTATAAGAGTTCTCATTTCTCTCAGTGAAAGAGTTGAGAACTTCTGACCAGCTGGCCCTCCATATTTAGTGATTCCACCCCGTCCCCGCATCTTCTACTCTATCTTCCATTATTTTATTAGGGATAAAAAGCCAGAGTTAAGTTTTTGGGATATCTGATACAACACCACTGGATACTGTAGCTCCTTTAATAAAAACAGTTCAATTTATTCTCTGAGACTTTCTATTATTGAAGAATTTTTTGAAACCTTAATTTTTGATGTAAGGGATATAATTTATTTTGTTGAGTGGCTTACATTAAGATGAGAAGCTGGATTGCTGGGAGGTTAGAGTTTGGGGGAGAGTTTCATCTATCAAGCCAGTTTGTATATTTTCTTAAGTAACATTCAACAATGTACTATTGGAGGATAAGCAATTTTAAGAAAGTCCTGTTTAAATTAAGACTACATATAACCATAAAGACATACAAGTTTTTCTCTTACCTTGGTACTCTTGGGTCATGCCATGTGCTTACACCAGTCTGAGTATGTAGGAAATAGACCTGACCTTGTTGAGTGGTCCTTTGCTCTGTTAAGTAAGGTAAAATAAATATAAGGACAACCAAACCAGGAAGAGAGACATGCATGAAAGGGAAAAGAAAAAAAAGCGATTCATGTTACTAAACAAACTGCTCTGCTGAAAAGATGTTCTAGAAATGTGGTTAAACAGATTTTTTTTCCCCATGTAAAGGTTTTTAGGTATTGTCATCAGATTAATGTGCTAGACTTTCTGACAGCAGGCTGAACAGGCTGCTTTTGGTGTTCAACTAAGAAACCCAAATCAGTGTCAATTAGCATAGCACCAAGCCTTGAAAATTGGCAATCAGACAATTTTTAAAATATTTGTTTTGCTAGAGTTAGGGAATGTTTTTTCTTCAGTCTCAGTTTTGGAAAAATATCACAATTTGTAGGTGTGTGTAAGAGACTAGTATCTTTTCTTTGCTGTTTACAGGAGTTATTAGGAGACAACAGTTTCTGTTTGTTCTGGAATTTTGTATATATGTGGGATTACATAAAGCCTCAGCAACACTGGGCTGTACTTTTTCTAAGGCCATGTCTAAACTCTAGACTAGTAAATATTACATTGTTATAACAGAAGTAAAAGTGTCACGTAGGCAGTTATTGTTATAGGGATCTAAATCATGCTTTTTCGTAACGTGATTTAAAAGAAATAAGCAAGTGACCAACTGAAAAATGTGGAAACATGTTTGAAAACAGTCTTTGTACCACCCTTACAGAACTACCAAATGTGGTAATGTTTCTCAAGAAGTCTAAAACTGTGGCTATTTGGCCAGTTAAGTGTGGCTAGTCTAGCAGCACCTTAAAGGCTAACAAAACATGTAGATGGTGAACCCACTTGCACCCACGAAAGCTCATGATACCATCTATATGTTTTGTTAGTATTTAAGGTGCTGCTAGACTATTTGTTGTTTAAGTTTTTTCCAGTTACAGACCAACTCAGCTACCCCTCTGAAACTTTTAAGTGTGGCTAGTTTGCTATAGTAGTAGCCACTATAATGGCTACTGCTTCAGAACTAGTTGGACACTACGGATCTAAAACAAAAGTATTCCAATATTCCCCTAGCTGTATACTAGAAAGATTAAGTCTGGATACAAAGTTGGATAAGAATGCAGCCTTTAAAAAAAATGAATTCAAAGCAGCTACTATATAGTTCATGTTTTACTTTAAAATGTTCCACTTCCCTAAAGAGTAAATTCAGATGTCCTTGACCCAGATATCTAGGTAATTAACAAGTCATTATCCATGAAATAGCTATTTCTCTATGACCAGCTGGCAGAGTCCTATAAAAGTCTCTAGATAATGTGGAACACCACATCAAATGTAAAAACTTCCACTAAAAAGATTAGACATTTAATGAGATTACAGCATTATCTTTGTGTTTTAGTTTGAGACATTGAATTTAATTGGCTAGCTACACTTACAATTGTAAGAGTATCTGTTATAACCACATAGGTCAGAGCTAGTTCACTGGTGGCAGAATTCTATCAATTTTAAAAACTAAAACTTCATGAAATTCAATTAAACCTAATGAACAGCTAAAAGCATTTTATTTTAGGGAGTGCAGAGAAACAAAGCTACGTTATCATGAGGATGTTAACCACTTATGTCATCCACTCTAGCTTATTTAACAAAATATGTGATGTGCAGGCCCGGTCAAAGAGTTCGTGGGGCCCAAGGCAGCGAGTGAGCAGCTAGGTGGGCAAGGCCAGGAACTGGGCAACGCGGGACCAAGAATGCGTAGGTCCCAAGGCAACCACCTCGCTCACCTTGCCCAAAAGCCAGGCCTGGTGATGCAATCAAGGGATCAATAATAGTACTCCACTCTCATAGAATGCTTTTTATCACTTGATCTCAAAGTGCTTTGTGGTATCATTATCTCTATTTTATACATGCAGAAAATGAGGCACAGGGTTAGTCAAGATCACCCAACATTCCAACCACAGAGCCAGGAATAGAACCCATGTCTTCTGAGTCCCAGCACAACACCCTATCCACTAGGATGCACTGCTTTGTGATGTGGTAGTTATGTCCTCATTTTTAGTACTATGGAAACAAGCTAGGTGAATAACTGTAATATGTGGGGGGAAAGCCATATGATTTTTAAATGGGCTCCATGATTTTCCAGCCTCTCCATTTCAATGTCTGTGTGCACGCATCACATGCATGATCATCAGAAGACTCTTCCGTAGCAGTACCCTTTAGGTTGGCCATAGTACCCCGCTGTGGTGACGCCTCACAATGCAGTATATATACACGCCTGCCAACCCAACTTCTGCTTCTGTTTCTTTTTGCCAGAAGAGAGTCTGACAGAGGGGAAGCAGGTGGGTCTGGAATAGACATGAGCAACACATCCTGAAGCCCGGCATTTGGGAAGAACGACTAACTATTGAAGGAAGAATATATATATATTTAACGACTAACGACTAGATTACTAACTATAAAACTGCAACTTTCGTGGGTGCTCCATGACCTGCCTCCTCCCCTCTTCGGAGACTATTATTTTGTCTTTCAGAGCAAGAGGCAGGAGGAACTGGCGGGAGCCGGACCAGCAGCGCTCAAACGGTGCGAAAAGCCACGAGCCATACTTCGCGCATGCATGGTCCGGCAGACCACGGCTAGAAAAGATCTCCGATCTGCGGCGCCGGGACAAGCCGACACCTACAGTGGAGCACCCACGGGACACTGCTCGAAGAAGAACAACAGTTACAAAGGTAAGTTACCGTTCTTTCTTCTTTGAGTGATTGCTCATGTGCTTTCCAATCTGTGACTTACTAGTAGTTGTACAGAGGAGAGGATGGACCTCAACTTGTTGCTGAGTGCAGTACAGCTCTGCTGAAGGCCACATCATCCTGGGACTGCTGTTAGAGGGCATAATGAGACATGAAGGTGCGAATGGAGGGCCACATAGCCACCTTGCAGATGTCCTGAATCGGGACACGTGCGAGAAAGGCTGCTGATGAGGCTTGTGCTCGAGTGGAGTAGGCTGTCATAGGAGGGAACAATACCTTAGCCAGGTCATAGCACAGATGGAGTGGTTTAGTATGCTCCAGATAAAAAGCCTGGCATCCAGAGAGTGCAGCACCTGTTCCCTATCCGTGGTAGGTGGCTTTGGGGAGAACGACAGGAGAAAAATGTCTTAAGTGACATGAAAGTGACACTATTTTGGGCAGGAAGGCAAGGTGAGATCATAGCAGCACCTTATCCTTATAAAACACAGTATAGGGGGGTTTGGAAATAAGGGCTCTCAGCTCTGACACCCACTTGGCTGAAGTAATAGATATCAGGAAGGCCACTCTGAATGAGAGGTAGGCTAAAGAACAGGTAATCAGGGGCTCAAACAGGTGCTATCAGAATGACTGCTGCTTTGTCCAGTCAAATTTTGAGGAGGACCCTGGGTGTAAGTGGCACCAGGAGAAAAGCATAGAGCAACTGCTCTGTCCACATCAAGTGCAAAACATCATACAGTGATCCTCTGTAGAGCCTCTGGAAGAGGCAGAAGCATTCGCACTTCTTGTTGAAATGGATTGTGAACAGGTCCACTTAGGGATGACCCCATTCCCAGAAGACAGAGAGTGATGTCCGTCCGGAGAGACCACTCATTTGACTGAAGAGACTGGCTGAGGTGATCCACAAGGTCATTCTGCTCCCCCAGAAGGTAGGAGACTAGCAGGTGGATATTGTGGGAGATGCACAGGTCCCACAAGGCAATGACCTCCTGACACTGGGGAGAAGAGTGAGCACCGTCCTGTCTATAGATATAAAACATCACCATGGTGTTGTCTGTCACCCACT